GGTGTGTCAAAACATCATTTACAACCTCATCAAAATCAGAATTTATAGATGGGTGGTTCCATAAATACACGTATAATACATCAACCACATGTGCTGGAACTCCAACAAATGTTGTGACCAAGGGACTGGGAATATGCTTTACAGATAAAGAAGGATTGTATTACACAATCAGAGACTCTGCAGCAACATTTTCAATGATATTTGCTTTGATATTGGCTTTTCTAATTTAAATAAAAAATGAGTCATTTATTATGTTGTTTTGATTTTAAGATATTAATGTATATATCAATTTATAAATTGTTTATTTGTATACCTTTTATTTTATCAGTGGTTTGGATTTTAATTTGTTTCTAAACTTCAAATTATTTATACAATATTTGTTAATATTATTATTACTAAAACGATTAAATGATTGAATGGAGAAAACAATTTAGCGAAAAAATCAATTTGAATAAATTTCAAATATGAACAAAATTTAAAATTTAATTCTTGTAAAGTTATACAGTCAAACCTCTATCGAGTGGTAATTTCAGGAAATTTTACCTTTATCGAGTGGGTTTTTCTATTTTTATTATTTGACTTTTTTGACACAATAAAACATTTTTTATTTTTTTTTCAAAAATAGGTTATATAAAATATAAATACATAAGAAAAAAAATATATACACGTTTTAACTATAAAAGCATTTTTGCATTTAAAAATTAACTGAAAAAACTGAAAAATCATAAATGTCGTCACCCAAAAAGAAAGTCTTTCTGACCATTGACGAAAAGAAAACAATTTTGTCATGGTTTAAAACAAATCCCACACAAAGTGTAGACACTCTGATTCGAAAAACCGAAGAAAAATATAACAAAAAACCAGGAAGAGAATCTTTAAGAATTTTATTAAAAAAAGGTATACCAAGTACTTTGATCGAAAAGGGAATTCCTGGTTCATCTAAATTATCAAGAAAAGTTAAACATCAAGACATGGAAGATTACCTAAACAATATGATTATTACAACAAAACGGTATAATTGTCCTGTAACATATGAAGTCATCAAATCGTTTGCCAATAGTTACTGTGCGAAAAATGGTTACGAGGACTTGAAATTTTCTAATGGTTGGATCACTGGATTTTGTTCAAGATACAATTTAAAATCCAAAAAATCAGCGGAGAGAGTAATTCAGTAAATCCACAAGATTTTCAAACACAAATAAATTCTCTGGTTGATGTCATTGCTCAATACCAACCAGAAATGTTATAACGCAGATGAAACTGGACTATATTTCAAATTGCTTCAGACAAAACAATGTCGGATTTAACAAACAACCATGGAGCAAAACAAAGCAAAGAAAGAGTCACTGTAATGGTTTGCTGTTCACTTGCTGGAAACAAAGAAGACTTGCTTGTGATTGGTAAATATCATGAACCAAGGTGGCTTAACAAACCAGAATATCAGACCATAAAAAAGTATTATAGCGCACAAGAAAACGCTTGGATGGACACTGAGCATTTCCATGATTGGTTAATTGAATGGGAAGACAGACTAACCATTAGTGGCCGATGTATTCTTCTTATTGTAGACAACGCTCCGAGTCATAAACTGACGTTAAGTCTTGGGTTTTATAAAGAAAAACCAAGACATGTCTATAAAGGTATAAAAAGTACTCGATATCATGAATATGAGTTGATTCTTAAACACATCAGGTTGGAATTTCTTCCAAAAAATACAACATCGGTGTTTCAACCGTGTGATGCTGGAATCATTCATTCGTTAAAATGTGCATATAAAAGGAAAATTATTTCCGAATACACCAGAGCAATAAGCGAAGTTGTATCTGCGAATAAAATTTACACTGGACTAAAACTCAATGTTGGAGATGCAATTAAATTATTAACCGCTTGTTGGTATCAAGATGTTACATCTCAAACAATAATCAATTGTTGGAGACATGCTTTGTATCAAGGAGAAAATGTATTTGACCAAATTGATACATTGGGCTATCATATTGAAGACTTGATTGAAGAAGACGTTGATGTAGTAAGAGATGAAATACCTAACAGTGGTGATGTAATACAACGAAAAATTGAAATGGAAACATCACTTGTCAAACAAATGATGGAATTGGAAGATCTCAAAGAACAAGTTCAAACAAAAGAAGAAGAAGTAAAGGATACTACCACTAAATATATAGAATTTTGTGAATTGAACGATTTAACACCAAGCCAAAACTAATTGACAATTTTAATTAAATTTATTATACAAATGGAATTTATACAAATGTGTTGTTTAGAACACGTTTTATAATTGTTAATTCACTTTTAAAAATTAAAATATTTAATACTTTTTTTACCATTTAATAAACTTGTTTATTTGTTTATTATTTTTTGTCTTAGTGTTATTATAAAATGAAATTAAAAAACATTTTACCACAAATCCAAAGAAAAAAAATCTATTTTTCCCGAAATATTAAAATAAAAACATATAAAAAACAGTTCTTTATCGAGCGGTATCCAATTTTAATTGGCTAAAAATCCCATTCGATAAAGGTACCACTCGATAGAGGTGCTATTCGATAGAGGTTTGACTGTAATTGTATTTGTTATTTTTATTATAAATATTAATCTCAATTTTATAATACAATAATTAAATAGACAAAATAATATGGCAAAAAACAATTTCAATTGAAATTAATTGAAGTTTTACAAAATGTCAGTAAATTAGAAGAAACGCTATTTGTAAAATGGTGCCATTAAATCAATGAGTTATCCTTTAACAGTCTTTGTATATGAAAAAAATCTTTAAGTTCAAAGTCATTTTTGACAATAAATATGTCAAAGACTATATATTTCAAAGGCAAGTCGGTTTTTACAATTACACATGACCAACTGTCATTCAACTTTCAAAAAACACAATATATAATTTACAATATAGTGCATTTGCACGTTGTATTGAACTTAAAAATTTACAATTTTGAAGAGTGTGACGCAACTTAAAGAAATTTGTTTTAATGGGTGTGTCATGTTTAGAGAAATAAATATTCCAATTTCAGTTATTCCAATTTGCAGATAGTGCTTTTCAAAATATTAAACTCATTCAATTGTTAATATACCACATAGTGCCACTTTAATAATAAACGAGTGCTTTTCTAAGTGCTGTTAATTGCTCAGTACAGAAATTCCGAGTGATGTGTTATAATTGGAAATTTAACATTTTGTTACTGCAAATCGATACGAGACGTAGTTATACACAAAAAAGAGACAAGGCTTGGGATGTCTGTGTTTATATATGTAAATAATTGAGTCGTGTTGAATTGAGAAATAAATTTGGAATAATTGTAAATGTAAGTTTTAGAAAATGTCAAAATTGGAAAGACGTTGTATTACCTGTTCGTGTTTCGAGAATCTGAAATTAAACGTTTGACGAAAGTACAAACGTTGATAAGAATAAAAAATGCAAGTGTGGGAAAATGAATATAATACAATTGAAAATTTATATCATATTCAATTATTAATAACATAATTTGAAATGAAAAAAAAAGATAATATTTGTGGTTGTGGGTTATAATGATCACCCTTAAAATGTATTATAAAAATCATACAACTCTTGTATGAATCGTGATTGGTATAATACAAACTTAAAAATGAAATTAAATATATTAAAAAATTTCAAAATGAGTTACATTTTATTCTTTGATATTGAAAGACTCTCTGTTACATTTAAAAGAGTTTATCACTAAAAAAAATAAGTGAAAATTTTGTTTTCGATTAAAATAAAACAAATGACATTGACACTGTTTTTTTGTTTTTATAAGAATAAATATCAATTTGGTAAGTGGTTTAAAATGTTTTACATTGTAAAGAACTTTTCTCATATCAGGTTTGATATTTCAAAAATTGGTTATGATAATATTGTAGTGACCATAGAAGTCACCAATTCTGCCTGTGAGCAAATAGTAATTGTTACGCACATACCATTCCAAACTTAGATATAAATTGAAAGATTATATGTTACAGTGTTATCTTATACAAAAACGATCCGCAAAGAAATGTGGACGACTTCAATTTTGATATGTTTTTTCATTTTGGACAGTTTTCAAAAGCTACAATTGAGTTAAATGCCAAAGTCCAAAATGGTCTATCTATTTTTATGGTTAAATTTAACACTTAACGACACAAAGTATTTAACAGAACATTTTGAAGAGTTTATTACATTTTATATTCCTTTTGAAAAATACGGTACATTAACAAAACCACATTTGTTACTCAACTTATAAAATGAAGTATATGGCGTTCAACGTTAAATTCAATAGAACTGAAAACTATTGATTGGTGCAACCGTTAATGGAAAGATAAATTATTTACAGGAGTATGATATAATATTTGAACAATAAAACTACTTAAGATGTATTTGAAGGTAGAGTACAAGACGAATTATTAATTAAATAATAAATACTAAAACGATGAATTATTTTTGAATGTTTGATTCAATATTTTGTTCGGGTATATCATCAAAATCAAATTCAAACTTCTTGAGACCCCAATTGACATCAATCTCACCCATTCCATCACATACAATTGATGGTCTAAACCTTCTTCTATCATATGACACAGCCAGCAAGAAGTGCCCATTCTTTGTGAAAAATATCATTTTCTTATCAGCCAAATACCCACATCCCATGACACCTCCATTTTTAAATCTTTCAGTTATATTTTCTCCTGTTCCTTTCATGTTATACATCTTTCCATCATCCGAGTGCATTCCAACAGCGCCTTCTTTCCACCCAACATGATTTCTACAAATTGGGAGGTTCAAATTAGTTTCTGAAACGCCCATTGAGACTACCATAGAACGTCCAACATCTTTTGCTACAATTTCTTGTAAAGTGACTTCAAAGTAATAAATTGGAGTTCTTTCAAAAACGACTGATGTTTTGGTGTGCCTCACAAAAACGTGTTCTTTGCTGCGCCAAAATCCAATTGAGTGAATTGCCTCTTTGCCATTTGTCTTCTTTGTGAATGTGCTTTTCTGTTGTACAAACGACATTTCTGGCTCGACGTAAAATTGAAGTTTTTTAAATGTTTTCTGAAGCTTTTTGAGAAGCCTGGTATACGTGAATGTTGTGTGGTTCTCAATATCACAGGTGTTGGTGTGGAACATGTTGCTCAATGATTCAATAGCTTTGTCATCTGCGTCTTTGCTGGATGTTGTTTCTTTGTGATCAGAAGTATATTCACTTTGTTTTACAAGTGTAGATGGTGTATTTAATATTACACTTTTTAATTCGGCGACATCTTTCTCAAGTGTGGATATGCGTTGGTCTCTTTTAAAAAGTTCATTTGAATAGAATGCCATACATTCTTGCACTTGTTGACTTAACTGGGATATCAAGTCATTTGTTTCACTCATTGTTATATGGTTGTTATAAGATTTTTATCATTATATATATAAATTATTGTTTTAAATTATTTGAAAAAGAACCAATAACAATGTTTTGCGACGAAATTAGTTAAAATAACATATTGATGTCGAAAATGATAATCAAAACTTAATTTTTATGAACAAATCAAATTTTAATGAACTTTTATTTTATTTTAATAATAATATTGTTTGTTATTAATATACAAACAGTATCAAGTTAGATTTGATTAATACCAAACATCACAATATTGTTAAAATTAAATTCAAACAGAATTGAATTTGTCTCTACAAACAAATAATTGTGTATATTATATATATATTGTTATTATATATTGTAGTTTCAAAAGTCAAATCATCACTATGATAATGGAACTATGAAATAGTAAATATTAAGATTACAAATATATCATTAGAAACATTTCATATATCTTTTTTGGTCATTTTTAACAAAATTTAATGTTTCAAATGATAAAAGTTGTTTTTTATACTAAGCTTAAATGATATATTATGATAATAAAACAACATGAAAATAACAATTTTAAGTTATTTTTATAATCTTTATAAATATAAAAAACTTTTTTCAAGTTATTAAAATGTATTCAAACATGAACTCATTGTTTGAATTTTATTTTACTAATGATTTATTTTTATATTAACTTGATCAACAAGACCAAATACATTAATCAACATCGTTTATTTTGTTTGATAATATGTTGTTATTTATAAATCGTAACTTAAAACTTACACAACATAATTTGATTGTATTTTAATATCAAAAATCAACAATAATTGACTTTTGCTTTGTTTTTCATGTAAAAAACTTCAAATAATTACCAAACATACCAACTATATATTTACAATATATAACTAATTTATTGTGTAACAACACACACTTAAAACGTCTGACTGAATGAGATATGCTTACTGGATTTGTGTATCTATTTTATGTCCACTGGAGAAATTAGTTTCCACGGAAGGCAAAAATAATATTTATATAAATAGATTATTTAATTTTATTGTAAAATTATATTTTTTTGCTGATTTGTTTTGATGTTTGCAAAATTTTTAATAATTGGTATATATTACAACCATAAGAATCATTTTAAACTTTTTTAAGTTCAATTTAATACTTGTGTACAAAAAACAAATGCTAATAAAAAACAATACATAGTCGAGTCATTATTATACAAAAATAACAATTCTAAAAATGACATGTTAAAACGATTTTCACAACTAAGTTTTTTAATTAAAACTTGTTTTAAATATAGTATTTCAATAAAAACATTATCAATTTGGTTGTTAGTTTTGTTTTGTATATAAATTTCGATTATAATATGTTACTTCATTTATTTGACATTTAGATTTTAAATATACAATATCAATACAAATATAAACAATATTAAATCGTTTTAAAAATATTCCAATATTACTATTTAAAATAGTGATATTATATTTTATAAATATAAAATAATAATAAATGCTATTATTATAATATTTTTATGTAATAATATACATAGAATATGATTGTTGATTGGACATGATAACATCAAATCTTATTTTAATTTATTTATTGTAAGTAATTATAAATTCCAATAAATAATAAATATTTTTTAAAATATATTTTAAAAACAAAAAAACGATACAGGGGGCAAAAAACCGCTTCCATCTTTCTAACCGCTTCCTATCAATTTATTAGTTATAAATAATTACATTATGATAAAAAGTATGATACAAATTACCATTTCGGACAGAAAAATTTCCACAAAACATATTCAGCCTTCATAATAAACAGTACCATATAATATATTATATTAATATTATTTATATTTATAAAGTGATTTAAAAACCATAAATACATAATAAAATTTACCATTTGACATTTCCAAAGAAACACCATTTGTCAATCTTTTTATTTGATTATTAAATCGATAGGTTTCACATATTAATTTCACCACAACAATGATACTTTTATGGTTAACTATCATAAATGGTCTGCTTGCTTTGTTAATATAACTTAAAGATTCTCTTAAAAAGGAATCTCTAGCGAATTCTACATTTCTTGCTTTCTTTTTTGTATGTATAAATGTTTTGAAAATGAAAAATTTTAAAAATAAAACGAAAAAAATTATTTCGAAAAAAAAGAAAAAAAGCTATTGATTATAATTAAAAAACTAAATGTATAGTTTATTTATTTCATCGTTAATTAAAAACCAGACTTTAAATGTATATTTAAATTTAGACTTGCATTTAACTTGTTCTTGTCACTTTGGATAGAGTCATTTGCTTAACGTTGTCTGGTCTATGACGTTGTCTGCCGTTTTTAGACTATTATAAATGGAATATTTCGGGATTTTTTTTATAACCCCAAATATCATTGTTTCAATATTTTTTCCAGTTTTTTCATTTTTACCTAATTCCCGTTTTTTTTAAACAAAAATCAATTATTTTTTGTCAAAAAGACAACATTTGGGGAACAGACAACGTTTATCGACTGACTCTATAATTATTAATATCTAAAGTGAATTAAAATAAATAAAATAAAATCTGGAGTGAATTATATGTTTTAATTATAATAAATTATTAAAGTTATGAAATATTTATTAAATTTTTGAAATGGTGTTTGCTAAGGTACATTTCTTTTTATTTAGTTTTTGATAGGTTATGTTTACTATTATAAATAACAAAACATAATAAAAACCAATAAATAATAATTAAAAATCAGAACATCGAAACAATAATGAGTGACTCCATGGACAACTATATTCAAGTTGGAATTGATATTGGAACAACCAAATGCTGCATTTGTGTTGTTGGTCAGGACGGGATACCAACAGTTCTCGAAGTAGACATGACGAAATTAGACCACAAAGAGCTTCTCCCATCTTATGTTTCATTTATTCCAAATCAAGTTATTGTTGGTGAAGCTGTGAAGAAAATGACACAAACAAGCAATGTGTTGTATGACCCGAAGCGCCTACTTGGTCTTTCTCTTGAAGAAATACCGGAAGATGAAAAGAAATCATTTACATTTGATATTGACGAGATAAATAATCGTATAGTGTATATGGTAGAAAATGGGAATAAAAACAACGAGCCTGAACCTTTTCGTCCTGAAGAAGTGACTGCTTTTCTTGTTCAAACACTTTTTGCTAAATTAGAGGAGATACCCGAGTACAGAAACAAGAAGAAGAAATATGTTGTGACACATCCCGTTTCATTCAATGAGAACCAAATAAATTATGCTGAAATGGTAATGCATCTTGTCGGAATCACAACATTCAAATTTTTACCAGAACCAATTGCGGCACTACTAAGCATGAAGACGATGATGAGTGAGATAAAAGTAAATGAGAAGGTTCTAGTTTTAGATGTTGGTGGTGGGACACTAGATGTAACAATATGTTCATTAAAAAAGAGTGGGTACTTTGAGTGTGAAGCATGTAATGGTGATTTTAATGTCGGTGGAAATGCTGTTGACAGAGCAGTGAGTGAATTGATCATTGCTAAAACAGCGAATATAGAAGATTATTCCACGTACTTTTCAGAGCCAAAACGTGCACTTATTACTGAAAAAATAGCTTACCAAAAGAAGAAGGCTCGACTTCGGGTAGAGTCTGAGAGAGTAAAAATACTCCTTTCGTCAAATGAAGTTGTTGAAGTCAATCTCTCCTTTTTATTTGATTCAACTGTAGGATATGTGATGGAAATTAGTAGGGCTGAAATGAATGAGAAATGTAGTGATTTATTTGCAAAATATGTTAGGTGCATTAAACAAACGCTTATAGAAAATAATGTTAATTCCAGAGGCATTAAGAAAGTGATAATGACTGGTGGTGCGTCTGAAATGATTGCATTACAAGACCAAGCAAAATTGATATTCAAAGAAGCTGCAGTATTTGTTGTTGACACGCCCGAGTTGGCTGTTGTAAAAGGTGCCTCAATGTATCATAAGGGAGACATTCAAAATGTTATCAATCATTCGGACGAAGACATTCGCGTTGAAATTGGATCAAAGTGTGAAGTGATTGTTTCAAAAACAGACTTACTCCCAGCAGAAGGGACAAAAAGGGTTGCCACCGTAGTGGATGGACAAAAGAAAGCAGTGTTCAAGATTTACAAAGGAGACAACTCTCAAGCCGATTTTAACACATTTGTTGGAGAGTTTGTGTTTGACAACATCCCAATTCAAAAAGCCGGAGATGTTGTCTTTGTTCTGAAAATTGGAGTTGACACTGTTGGTAATATCGAAGCAGAAGCACATATGATTAATGGAAGAACAGAAAGGATAAAAGCAACTGTTTCGTTTGAAAAGAATAAAGAAGATTTTATTTTTACTAAAAGGCACTTTGATTATAAGGCATACAATTGGATAAGCGCACATCCGGAAGAGAAGCGTCCATCCAGTGTATCCTCACGATTTTGCTGGATACTAATTTTTGTTTTACTAAATTCATTACTTGTCATGTATTTAATAGGTGTTGGACAAAATCGGGTTTTCGCTTCATGATCAGTATAATTTATTTGGATAATAAATTGTTTGTTTTTATGGTAAAAATTGATGTTATTTAAATGTATAAAAACCTTTAAATAACACCCCGTTTTTGTATTGAATTGTATTTATTGGGATATTAATACAAGAATTTATTACTTTTACTAATCATAATACTCAAGCCTTATCAATAGAATTTTTTTTTACTTTTCCTATTCCACAATTTTAATACTTAGTATTTTCTTACTCATTATGTTTTAATTATTATAAAATATTATATGCACACTTTTGTTATAATACCCTTTTTGTAATATGTTTAAAACTATGATTCTGTATTTGTTTTTTTTGTTTAAATTACAATAAATTAATTGAACACATATTGAATAAAAATGGAGTCAATTTTATTAATGTTAAAATAATTCATAAAGCATTGCAACCACTTCTTCTATTTTTATTCTTTCAATTGGACGTTGTGACAAACACAACACAATGATATTGTACATTTTTACATCAACATAATCAGGCTTCTCGAGACGCTTTCCCAATGAAACTAACTCGGCTATTTATACGCAATTCTCCATGCAAAGCACTCATTGATAATCATTGCAAATGAATAGACGTCGACTGGTCTTTTGTACTACTTAAAAAATTGGTTAATTACAAAGTATTTTGGTATCTCAAAAAGTCAAGAAATGAATTAATTCAAAATTTTAGTTGTTTTTGTTGTAACGTCTTGTTGTTATTTTACTAAGATCGTTGCAAAATAATGTTGTCAGAAATGCGAACGGTTATTTCAGCTATTTTTTTCAAAAATAAAAAATGCAAAATTTAAAAATTTTAACAATAAAATTTTTTATAAAACAAAAAATAAATGGAACGTAAACGTGTAAATGTTAGATATACAATTTATATAAATTACATGTTTACATGTTTTAAAGTGATAAAATAAGTTTTACATATTTTAAAAAGCAAATATTTATATGTAAAATGAAACCAAATTATAATATCCAATAAATTGAAACAATTGATAATCTGCTTTATAAAATTGTATATTATTTAATAAACACCAAAAAATCAAATAAATTAATTTTGGTTATCAAATTTAAAACCAGGTAGTTTTTGAATTAATTTACTTTGTGAATCAAATATTTCAATTTCATCACATTGTTCCGTTTGGACATTTGCACTGTTGTTAATCACAACATCAACTTTCTGACAATTTTTCAATACAACTTTCGCTTCTTTGTTTTTCGTTAACGATATATGAACACATTCTGAATCTTCTAAATGTACTTCCATAGCTTTTAATTGGATTATTTTGTTAATAGCATAACATTGCCATTCATTATAAATCAATGTCAAATTCTTTGCATATAACATATTACTGCACACCTCTAACAATCCATTATTTCTAATCATTCCGTTATCTATTTTGCACACTGACACTGTCGAATCTTCTGTTGCTTTTGTTGTTATTTCACTGTTGACAATTTCAACTTTTTTGACATTAACTTGATGCATAAAAATTATTCCCTTTGACTCTCTTATTTTTACATATTTTGTTATACTCATGGCATTAACCCAGAAGTACAACGTGTTAATAATTTCAACTTGACGGGCATATAAATCATCATATGGGCGATACACATAAGACTCAAATATACTATCTACTCCATCCTCTTCATTTTCAAATTCACAATTTTCAAACACAAATGTATCGAATAATACTCCTGAGTAATCAATTTGATGGCCAAAAAAGTTGCTGATTTTAAAATAAAAAACGACTTCAATTTTTGACGAAATTTTCATTATTGGAAAAACGCCGTTGTTTATTGTTGTGTTATTTTTGTGTAAAACTATTTCTTTGTTTTTTTCACGGAAATAGTCGTTGCGATTGGTTGGAGCTATTTTTGGAAAATCGAACTTTTCAACTTCATCTCTAAAATTGACTTTTTCAATTTTAGTAATTTTTGATGGAAATTCAACTTTTGAGTTTTCAGTAATTATAACTTTTTCTGAAATTCGAAAATTGCCAAAAAAGACAACGTTTTCGGAAGTCGAAATTGTCACTTTTTTGAGAGTGGAATTGTTAAAAGTAAATTTCAAATTGTCACAAAGTGATAAGTTCAAAGTGTCAAGTTTTATTACATTTTTTGAGAGATCACAATTATTAACACTTATTAAAATTAAATCTTTCACATCATTGAAAGTTGTAGATAATTCATCATTAAGTAATTTCAATACAACCGTTTCTGCACAAAGACTTAAATCATTGACAAACTTTGATTTGAAAAGAACCACCTTTTTGACATGAAAAATGTCATTTGTATTTTCGACATTTTCAACTAAATTGACGTCTTTGCACTTTTCAAGTGAAATCAATTCGAAAGCATCACATTTTGAAACTATTGAATTTTTTTCACACAAAATTAAGTTGATTTTAAGTGTGTTGCTTTGGGCATTTAAAAAAGTGAATTGACTTTCATAACAATTTTCAAATGAATATTCTTTTTGTATTTCAGCATCTATAGTAATGTGGGCATTTCTTAAATATTTTAATTCGATATTTTTGGCGCATTCTTTGTTTATATATAAATTTAGTCCATTTGAATAATTAATTGTTAGCCGTTTCAAATTGTCTAATTTAGGTGCAACAAATCGTGTTGACATCACGCGTAATTCCTCGACGTTTATAAATGGAAATAATATTTTTTCGTTGTTTTCATCGGTTTGAATGTTTTCAAATGAAATGTTTTGTTCCAAAACAACCTTTTTAATGGAATCCAAAACTCCACCAAATTTAATGTGTGCTTTCTTTGCTTTAAATTCGTTATATTTCATCATTTTTGGTAAAATACATTGAAATGGTGGCATTTGATGTGAATGCATTGTGTCTTCCGGAAGTATTTCAAAACACTCAACACATTCGGGTAGATTCAAATTTGTCAAATCCAAAACAACTTTTTCTGACATGAATTTGATGTGTTTTGGTGCACATAAACCGACTGTTTGTTCGATTTGAGAAATATGCAAGTCTTGTACTTCGTCGGTTTTAAATGGTATAAAAGTGATTTCACCGTCTTTTAAAAGTGGCTTAAAATATTCTATAAAGTCGGTTGTATACGTGTGACTGTAATGTTCGCAACTTTTCATATTAATAACATTTGACAACATGTTCTTGCGAGCAGAAGACCAGTCAATGATTATTTGACATGAAAACTCTTTAGCTGCCGATTCTATTACATTAAGATCATCAGAAGTCACAGTATCTGTAGGTGACAAAATGTCTGACACCAAAAAAAACCACTTAAAACGAAGATATATTGTCTTTGGAAAGTGTGTTTTATCGTATTGATGACTTTTCCATTTCTTAATGATTTCAACAAATGATTTTATTGAAAAAGACACTCTCTTCTTTGGAAATAAAGAAAGGAAATACACTGCATTGTCAAAGTATTTGTCACGAAGAGCAGCAAGTACGTCTTCATATTCCTTTTCTATGAAAAATGCTGGAAATTTGTCGAAAAAGTCAGGAGTCATAGTCTCTAGCATTTTTGATGTCATCAAACAATTTCTGATGTAAACGGCCTTTTTCATTGTTTCAATGGTAATTTGAAGGAAATTACAGTTAATTGTTGGAGGAGAATAAATCCGATAAAACTTTTCAATATCTTGATAATTTGTGAACCATGGATTAACTTGCAAAGAAGAAACAGCAACAGAGGCAGTGTGATTGACTTGGCTGAATATAAAAACGTCTAATAGACGTGGCAGATATAACACAACTTGCATTTGGTAGCACATTTCAAGGCGAACCATAATTGTTTGAGTATTTTATAAAAAGTTTTTTAATGAGATTCAAAAAAATATTATATAAAGAGAGTGGTATTTTTAATTCAAATTCCTCATCATATTTTAATTAATTTTACTATTAATAATACTAACAAGATTATATATAATACTATTCAGGGCTGTAAACCTCAATTGAATAAGCGTTTTTTGAAAAAATGGCATTTTATCTTTTTGGATAAAATAAATAATCCTATTTTCAAATAAATATTTTATATTAATTTAAAGAAGGAAAATGGTCATAAAAAATAAAAAATATGCTGTTTGATAATGTTTTTGAATAATTTGCTCAAAACTGCACTTTATTCCGTTATTCAAATAATAAGACCAAAAGTGTTTTAAAAAAATAATACAGTGCCTAAAATGAGTGGGCGACCTTTAAAGTGAGTCCCCGATTTTAGTAAAACTCCCTAATGATTAGGACCATTTCCCGAGCAATATTCAAATCATAATTTAAGTATTTTTAGAAAAAAAATATTTAGCCAATCAAAACGATTTTTGAGAAAAAAAACAAAATCTTAAAAAATAAATGATTTAAAAAAATCAAGTTTCAATTCAACCAAATGGTTTTGAATGTGGATATATGTAATGGAATCAATCGAAAAATACTGCAACAACAATATTAAATATAAGTTTTTTAATCACGATGAATTCTTGAACATATGGATTCCAGAAATGATGAAAAAAACGTAATTATAATTGATTTTTTTTGAATAGTTTTTTTATAATTAAATTTACTAAAATCAAAAACCATTTATTCCAAACTAGAACTAGAATAAAACAAATTATAAAACAGAAAAAAAGGAAACATCACTGTTAGGTTTGTTTTGTGGATTAGAAACTGTTTACTTACTTTTTAGAAAAGCTAAAGAAGAAAAGCTATTGATTTTTTGGAACTTGAAATATAAATTAGATTAAATGGAATTTCTATTTTTACAAAGTGTTATTAAAAGTTTTTGTGTTATTAAAAACAATAATAAATTTTGTGTTTTATAAAACAAAAAAACAATAACATTTATTTCGAATTAAGGAAAAAACAGGAGCTTTATAATTTTTACTGTTTCCGCCCTAATACTTTAAAAGTCGCCCACCCATTTTAGGCACTGTACCAGAAAAAACAAATAAGAAAAAATAAAACAATTCAACCAAATACCAAAGAAAAATGAAACAAAAAACTTTTTGAGAACATATGTTTGTTAACCCTTCGAGGATGGGAAAAATCAAAATTTGTAAAAAATAAAAATCTTAGTCAATTGTAATGTAAATGTTACATTTTTTACTTAATTTTTTCACAAAAAGCTAGACACCCTGGAACGACGGCTCTAGAAATTTTTATAGTAAAATGTTATAAATTATAGTAAAAAAGTGAATTTTTTGTTGAAGTTGGGATGAACAAAGGTTCACTTTTTTGCTTGATCCTTTCAGAAACAAGTCACAGTTGTATGGAAAAGTCAGATCAAATATTTATTGAGATGTCTACAACTTATTACAATAATAAAATTAATTATAAAATATAACAAAGAGATAACTGTAACGTAAAACATACAGGTCCAGAATATTCAAAACCAATTGCATCATAAAATAACAAAGAAAAGAAAATAAATAACAGACTTTGAGGTGTCATGTAATTTCATTATGCAATTGATCTCAAAAACAATAACAAGGGAAAATAAATAGATTTTTTGTAAACTTTGAAAAATACACAAATTTAAAAATCGGGTTTTACTATTTTTTTGTAAAAGAAATAAAATAAGACGTAAAGACATTTTTGTTTGTTCCGACTTCGAAAAATAAATCTTAAAGAAAATAAGTGTAAAATAAACAAAAATATCTAAAATACATTTTCAAAAGTATCAAAAATCGCAAAATCGAGTAAAATTTATAAAATCAACTTTAACAATAAAAGTAGTCGCATTTAAATAAACTTTGATCACCACGAGGTTTTGTGATCACTCGTTGAAATTCACGTTGTGCCACTGTCGAGGAAGCAAGATATAAATTCATTGTTTGTAATTTGAATTTTTTATCATTTTCAAACAAAAACAAAAGGCAAAACGTGTTTTATGCAATACATCTAAAATATAAAGATTTGTATTTGGTAAATAATTGTTTATTTTGCAGCCATTGTTTATTCATTTTCAAATTATGCATTTTTGGGCAACAAACAAAAAACTTATAGTAAATGTATAGAGATAATGAAAAACAAAGAAAAACACAAGTGTAAAGACAACACAAATATATACCAAAGTTGACACTTTAAACTATTTTTTATTATAAAATAATTAATATATTATTAATAATTTATCGTGTTATTTATGATAGTTTTATAATTATGATTGTTATATATAATAGTAACAATCAACAGACATTATTTTGACACAATAACACATCAACAATCATATCTTTACTACAACATGATTTCATCAAAGTGATAAGTTATCACATTGATAAAACAATGTTGTCTAATTAAAATTATATTGTATTTTATGTATAATTATAACAAAAATGGTATAATCACCCCTTTTTATAATGTTATCATTATTGAAGATACACAGTGTTTGTAATAAAGCGCGTTTTGACTGAAATACACAGTTTGAATTAAAACAAAACAAATAAGCATTTAATTTACATAAACAGAAACACACTGGTTTAGTGAATGATAAATAAAATGATTATATGTGATATAATTGATGTAGTTGTTATATAGATAACAATTTAAATTATTTGGATGTTAGAATTGATTACATACTTTATTTATAATATTATTTTACCATAATAATATAGAGTCTAAAATAATAATATAATAATTATTATAATAAATTACTTTTTTAAATGATAATAATGGTAAAATAATGTTATTTAAACACACCAATAAACAAAAATATTTTAATAATTTTGTTTAAAAACAGATAATTTTGGAGAATATTATAAATTAACAACACTTTGTTATTCCAAGATAATAAATCAATAAAGAACAGACAAACAATTGTTACTTATAATTTTATTAACAGTTATTTTTAAAATATTAGATAATTTATAATGTATTGTTTATTCGATTGATTTTGTAACGAATTGTGTTTTGTGTTTTAAATGGACGTTTTTGTTAAATTTTTAAAAATAAATACAGTAAAATTACCCCGTTTTGTTCAATTATTTTAATAATGCAAAACATTTATAGTTATTTTTAATAAATAAAAACTATTTTAACAAATTAAATGCAAAGAACATTTTGGTGTTTTTATTTGAAAATTGCTAAACAATAAAATGGTTTAAATTAATTAAAAGTACTAATTAAATCTTACATAAAACAACGTCACTTGCTACAAAACAAAAATGTTTATAATAAAAAAGAAAATACTTAATATAAATTTGAATTAAAACGATTATTAAGTTAGTTATTTCAAGATTTGTGATGAATAGATTTATAGTTTCAATTTGCACTATTTTAAACAACAATGTGCAAACCGATTTATAATCAAAAATTATCATTTTTTAATTTTTATATCCTGAAAAACATTTGAATTTCTAATAAATTTCGTGAATCAACATTATATAATTATGTGAAATAACACATACAATTTCTTGTTGTATTGGAATACAAATTCAAAAAATAAATAATTACTTATTACCATAAATAACTTTGCCGCCTTGCATTTGATTTGACGAAAAAATGCAAAAATCTGCATCATCATCAGAACTCGAAAAATAAAACAAATTTTCAAACAGTGAAGTCATCACCATTGGAAACGAGAGATTCAGCTGACCAAAAGCACTCTCCCCACCATCATTCTTTGGTGTGGAAGCATCATGTATCCACGAGACAACTTACAACTCAATCATGAAGTGTGATGTCGACATCAGAAAGGACTTGTACGGAAACATCGTTTTGTCTGGTGAAATCCAAAAATCAACGACAGACAAGAGAAGGAGAAAGTTGCAAATGAAAAACGAATAAGCATAATCAAGGCTGTTTGTGCTTGGCTCAATTTAATTATATTCATATTGGTGTTCATTTGGTTTAGTTTTAATATTATTATAATTATTGTTATAATCAACCATAATATATATAATAAATTTACTATCAGTTATATTATTCAAATGTTTAATTTTTATAGTTTATTTATAATTAAAATTACTATACAATTCATTATTCTTTTGTCACGCATTGTATAATGTATCCAAAACTGCTATTTTTCTCGACTTAAATTGATGTTTTATAGCGTTGTTTTGCCATATAAGATAATTATTTTATTGTTATTGTTGTGTTAATACTATAACAAACAAAAATGATAATAAACAACGGGTTTTTATCGTAATATTTTTTTCTAAAAAAAAGAAAAAAATAAAAAATTTTCAGTCTCCGGAGGGTTAAAGTGCAAAATAATAGTTGTTTATAACATTGAATTTATTGATTGTAAATAATAACTTTTGTGTAATGATAACTATATTCATAAAAACAAAAATAAACGATTATCATCATTTTCATTGTGTAACTATTAATTGTACACAATTTTCATTCAACAACTTTTTATTGATAATTACATATAAGAGAGTTGTTATATACGATAATTTTTTCTTAACCATCGTTTTCTTATTTTTCAAATAAAAAAACATAATTAAACATATTTCCCTAAGTAACACCACAACATTTATTATTATCTAAAAAACATGTTTTGATTATTAATTTCAATAATTTAATAACAACAGATGATGTAT